TGACTCTACAAACAGTTGGTAGGGCCTCTGCCTTTCTTTTAGCCTCCCTGGTGATGTTAGGTAAAGGGAAACTTTCTTTGTTGATGGACAGATAGACTCCCTGGAGTTTGGCTAACCCCAGACATGAGAGAAATTAGGAAGAAATATTTCTGCTTTTGCTCTAGATGTATTCTGAAAAAGAGCCTGCTACTTTCCATAAATTTGGATCTAGGCCATCTGAGCTTTCAGGCAGTGCGGACCATTCTTCATTCTTTTTTTTTTTTTTTTTTCTGTGTGTGTGATATGCGCACCTCTCACTGTTGTGGCCTCTCCCGTCACGGAGCACAGGCTCCGGACGCGCAGGCTCAGTGGCCATGGCTCACAGGCCCAGCCACTCCGCGGCATGTGGGATCTTCCCGGACCGGGGCACGAACCCGTGTCCCCTGCATTGGCAGGCGGACTCTCAACCACTGCGCCACCAGGGAAGCCCTCTTCATTCTTGATAATAGTGTCCTCACGTGCTCAGATGAGTGTTACACTGTTTGCTTCCTACTGGTAGAAAAATGTCTATTTTTTGTTCTCAGGAAAGCTCAATACAGCCATCTGCTCCAGGTGATACGTGGCATCAAACTGGAAAATGGCCATCAGGAAAGTAATAGAGGACTGTGCTGATTATATTACACAAGATGTGTCTAGTGCTCAGAATTTAGGAAAGTTGTTGGCTTGCCTATTGCTGAATTAACAATATTGTTACCAAACATCTGCCTTTCAAAACTTGTTGAGGCTTACTTTTGGAAACTATCCTGTTGCTGTGGTCTGGTTACTAAACAAGTTACAAAAGACCTTTTTCCCCTTCTGGAATTTGGAAAGCATGAGTGAAGCATCTTACCTTTGAAGCACAACCAGGTGGGACAGCAACAGTCTATCTGAACAAAAAGTGATGTTCCAGCACTAGAGATAGTTCTGTATTAAGTGTCCCACCCCTGTAAGTCCTAGATTGATTAGCTGAGAAATAATCTATGGGCTTAATTGTATCTTTTACCTGATCTTGAAAGGCTTTTCATTATTAAGTCAGTGTGGCTTTTAAAACAGAAAGTGGATCATCCCCTCCCCCAGGACTGTCCTCTGGAATCTTTTTCATGTTTGTATTGAGAGAAGGGGAAAGAATTAGCAGTAATATTGTAGATTTTTTCACCTCCTGCTGATTTCTGTACTGACTTAGGGTACAAGCCACTGTTAGGCTGTCTTTATATGTAGATAGGTATGCAATCTCTGGGTTAGCAGGGACCGTCATAGCTGATTTAGGATTCCAATATCAATACTGGGAAATGGGTGCCTGGACCTTCCAAGGATTGTATAGGCACAGCTGGTTTAAAGGAATCCATTTCTAGATTCTCAAATTCCATATGTATTGTCCTTTCCCACCTCCCCTTTTCCCTTTGTCCTTCCCCCACTTTACAGAAAAACAAACAAGCAGACAAACAAAAAACACCAGAAAATTGGAAGTACTCCAGAAATTTCTGGCCACTTGAACCTTGGCATGGTGCATTGCCCTTAAGGTGTAAAAACCTCTAAGGTGCCAAAAAAGCTGAAGTATCCTTTAATCATAGGGCTATAACCCAACCCTCCACTATCTTCTGCCTTATCTTCTTATGCATTTACAATAAATTGCTCCTTTTTATAATAATTGGTTTTTATAAAACATTAAAAGTATATCTGTTTTGATCAGTTGTGCTCCAGTAAGTATTGTAATGGTAACTCAAATCCAATACAGAAATGTTAACACTTAGAGCCTTACAGTCACAGTAAATAAAGAAAATTTTAAGTTTGTAATTATATTTTTATTGGTGAAACTATGATAGATTTTCATTAAAATATATTAGGTTGAAAATTGAGGGGGAGGTAGGTAAAGTAGAAATATTATTTCAAGGAGGAAAAGGGAATGATATAAAATTTCTATTAAAAAATAAATTGTTAGGGCTTCCCTGGTGGTGCAGCTGTTGGGAGTCCGCCTGCCGATGCAGGGGACGCGGGTTCGTGCCCCGGTCTGGGAAGATCCCACATGCTGCGGAGCGGCTGGGCCCGTGAGCCATGGCCACTGAGCCTGCGCGTCTGGAGCCTGTGCTCCGCAACGGGAGAGGCCACAACAGTGAGAGGCCCGCGTACCAAAAAAATAAAAATAAAAAAATAAAAAAAAATAAAAAATAAAAAATAATAAATTGTTAGACGTCAGATTCCACATAGGATGCAGTAGGTAGCTCCCATTGCAATAAGTACAAAAATCAAATTACAAAAGCCATATTTTTAAAGATGTCAGAGAGCTGTGGTTACAAAGTCTGCGAGGAGAACTAAAGTTCAGAAGAAGGAAGAGCCCTTCCTAACTGAGCAGAAGGTGCTGGCCATGTTCTTTCCTGAGGGCATCTATGCACAGGCTGTAGTTTGGGCTGCCATGGACAGACTCTACCAGGGTCAAAAGAAATCAGAGTTTTCGATGGCCACATGTGTTGATAGGATAGACTGGATTCTAGAGGAACCCCAAACACATGACCAGTCTTCCCTATAGGACATTTGCTGGGTGCTGGGGTTGCCCTGGGAGCTAGGGGGCTAGGCTGGAAAGCAGAATGAAATGCCCACAGTATACAGTGCTTAGGAGACCAAGTTCCCCTAGTGGGAGGGTTCTGCTCCACAGGGCATTTTGAACCGACTTGGGAAAGGGTGATAAAGAGGTAAGATTAAAACCTCCAAAGAACAGAATGTTCAGAGCAGAGAACAGAGGTTTGACAGGCTCTCCATCAAAAGTCCAAAAGGACTACACTTGAGGATGGAGCTGGGCCAGAAAGGCCGAGTGTAATATCCTACAATCTCCTGGTACGTAAGTAGGACACGAACTTCCATTAGTGGAAGAGATCTCCAACAAGCACGCTACAGGTCTTGCCTTTGAGACATTTGAAACCAGAAGTAGACTTGGGACTTCCCTGGTGGTCCGGTGGTTGAGAATCTGCCTTCCAATGCAGGGGATGCGGGTTCAGTCCCTGGTCAGGGAACTAAGATCCCACATGCCGTGGGGCAACTAAGCCCACACGCCACAATTAAAGAGCCACCGTGCCACAACTAGAGAGAAGCCCTCAGGCCACAACGAAAGATCCTGCATGCCGCAACGAAGGTCGCACATGCCACAGCTAAGAACAGATGCAGCCAAATAAATATTTTTTAAAAAAGAAGAAGTAGACTTATTCAACCCAGTGCTGACCTGTTTCCTTCTGATTGGATTGAGGGTGATCAGCCCCTTCTTTTCTCAAGAGTGAAATGGGTAAATGCATATGGAGGAAACAGCTTTCATCTCTCTGTTAGTTTGCTAGGGCTGCCATAACAAAATCCCACAGACTGTAAACATCAGAAACCTATTTTCTCACAGTTCTGGAGGCTAGATGTTCAAGATCAAGGTTCTTAGAAGTTCGATTTCTCCTGAGGTCTCTCTCCTTTGGCTTGCAGATGACTGCCTCCTCATTGTGTTCTCACATGGCCTTTTCTCTGTGTACATACATCGCTGGTGTCCCTTCCTCTTCTTATGAGGACGTCAGTCTTACTGGATTAGAGTCCTTCCCTTATGACTTTGTTTAACCTTAATTATCTCCTTAAAGCCCCTCTCTCCAAATAGTCACATTGGGAGTTGGCGCTTCAACATACGAATTTGCAAGAGACACAGTTCAGTCCATAGCAATCTCCATGGTTCTTTATCCTCCATGTCCAGCATACAATAAAAAAATTATGAGACATGAAAATGTGGTCAGTAATCAAAAGAAGCCAGCCCACAATATTATCTAAATATTGAAGTCAAACAGTCAGGAACTTGAAATATTGTAAATGTGATAAAGAAAATAGAAATGATGGATGGACAGAATGGATAAAAAGATGGAGAATTTCAACAGAGAATTGGAATCTACCTAGAAAAAAAAATCATGTAGAACTGAAAAATATGTCTAAAACTAAGAATTTTTTGGATTTGTTTAACCTTGAGAGGACAGGCTTGGTGAATAGAAGACAGGTCAATAAAAGACATTCAAACTGAAGGATGATAAGAATGGAGAATGGAGAAAGCAAAGCAGAGAGTGTAAGAGACAAGTGGGACACAGGTGATCTAACATATGAAATTGAAATCCCAGAAGGATAAGAGAGAGAAAGTGAAGCAGAGCAATATATGAAGAGATAATGACTGAAAGTTTCCAGAACAAATGAAATATACCAATTCTCAGATTCAAGAAACTCAGTAACCACAAGCAGAATAAATAAATACAACACACCTAGGCATATCATGTCAAAGTATTGAAAATGAAAGATAATGAGAAAAAGCCCAAAAGCAGTCTGATAAAATGGACAAATTACCTGTAAATAAGCAACAATAAGATTGATGGTCAAATTATGGAAGCCAGAATATAACAGAATGATATCTCTAAAGTGCTTAAAGAATTAAAACCTGCCAACCTAGAATTCTAGGGAACCTAGAATCCAGGGAAAATATCTTTCAAAATTATAGGTAAAATAGAAGACATTTTAGAAAAAAGAAATTATAGAATTTTAATATAATCACTTAGCAGCCCTCAGTGAATTAATGCCTCTAAACACTGAGCATCTACAGCTGTTCACATCAC